ATGGGTGGGGTGGGTGAAGATGCGATCTGAGAAGAACGACTGGTGGGAAGACCAGCCTTGCCAAACAATGCCACAGCATGACACTGTAGGTGCCCAACGACTCACTTTTCCGCGGAATGGAATGGACCAGCTTTTGCAGGCACGTCGGGTACTTTGGGGCACTGACCAGATAAAAAGTAACAGTTATTCCCAAATTATCAACAAAACTCGTCCCCCAAACCCTTGGAACGCACTCTCCAACACCAACGACGACTCTCACGGCGAACACGTTTCAACGCGTCGCAACGCGAGCGCCAACGGTCCGGACCGGTCTCCAGGTGCAGAGCAAGGAGTTCTTGGAGCGCCTTGGGCGAGCGAGAGGGGCCCGGAGGAGTTCTCGAAACGGTCAACTTGGAGGTTTTTTGGGTTCGAGGGAAAGAGGGAAGTCGAAACTCCCCCCTCCTGAAAGATGTGGGAGCATCCTGGAAGTGGGATCGGAAGATCATTTTCGCCAAAGCGTTGGTGATTGCCATTCGACGAGCCTCCGAGGGTACGGGGGGATGGCAAGATCTTACCTCTGCAGAGGCAAATACCAATTCTTTGGGTGACCAAACAAAGAGGCGTTCATTTGGAGACTGGAATGGCACTGTACTGCAAACCTTATTGCGGGGTGTACTTTTTTCCATCCTTTTTCCTCTTGCCCATTCTACAAGTTGGTCGTTGCTGAGAGAACCCCCTTTTCCAAGGCAATACACAACATGTCTTCGTGAGCGTCAAGAATGGCAGCGTGGGAAGGAGAGCCGAGACTCCTCCGTGCATTCCGTGGTTGTTCGTGAGTTTCGGTGCGGAGATACAGAGCGCAGGTAGTCCCAGGCAGGAAGATTTTACAACACTTTGGTGACCACCAAAGCTAAGCGTTGTCGTGCCCTGTCCAGTACAAGTGTTGCTTGGCGGAAAAGGGACGATGCTGGTTCTTCATGTTCATCATCCATGTGACCAAAGAAGCAGCAATCCCATCAACACAGAGTGATGCACACGAGTTTTACAAGTCTCAACTGACACTGACAAGAGTGACGACGGAGAAGACCGATTGAACCTCATCAGGACTTCTTGCGGCGTCAGAAGCAGCAGAAACGGCAAGCGGAGGCTGGGGAAGCTCAGCCCCACAGTCAGTGTCAAAAGGCAACAAAGGCAGTGCTGGGCTTACCACATGGCCTACCTTTTTTCAAATCCCCCAAGCACGACCACACCCGCCCCCCCAACAAACCAGCAGCCACATGCTCGGTGCGAGGCCAAACGTAAAGCCGACGAACAGCTGCAAAGGGAGATCCGCCCCTTGGAGTACCGCGCGAACCGGCGCGAACCGAACCGCCGGTTACCCGGGCCGTGCACCGCGCGCAGGGTCACCGGCAGCCATGGCCACGATGTCTTAAAGGGCGCCCGTGAACGGTCCTGCGGGTGGATTTGGAAGATGATGACTGGGTGGTAGTTTTGGAATGTTTTGGATATTTTTATGTTCAACCTTCACTTGGGATTATGGAACCTATGACCACTGGCACATATTGTTCAAGTGAGTTGAAATCACCAACCAGATGACCTTGCCACCCCCGGTGACTTTTTTGGGGTCAAACGGGTCAATCACTGTCAATCCGTTTCATGCATTTTCATGCTCAGTTCGGGTGAAGCGGCAGGGAGCCCAAACCCTCGTCCCCGGCCTTTGGATCTTTGGGAGCAAACCCCGATGGATCAGCCGATGAGGCTCGTGAGGCAGTGGTTCTTCGTCGGGTGACCGACCTTGGATGGGCCGTGGGGCCATGCAGCAACTGACCAGAGGGAGCGTGCGAAACACTAAGTCACTAAGACCTGCAACTTGGAAAGGCCCCACCTCTCAAGCCACGGCTGCCGAAAGGGGCCGAAATCGGGGACATGTCTTTGGGTGAAGGAGCTCGCCCTGTTAGCCGATTCAGGTAAGAAGCGTGCTGAGCTTGAGAAAGAAGACAAGAAAAGGCTGCAAGAGAAGAAAGAAGGACCGGACTGAGTTCAACATGATCCAAACGTCCAACGCTGGAGGCCAACTTCGGAGGGAGTCAATCCTGAGCCTCTCCAAAGGGGATCGGATAGTCATTGGGGATCGTACATTGTAGGGGCTGCTGAAAGGTCACATGTTTAGTTTTTCTACCCTGCCCATTCTTTTTATAAAAGGATCCTGTTTTGAACCATATCATAGAGCTGATACTCATTCAGGATTTTTCAAATCTCAAGTTGTCTGGGCGATTTGAACCTTCTCTTCTGAGAGCGACCCCTCCAAGTAGATAGAAACCAACTGACTCTGACAAAGAATGACAATTATATAAATCTATTCTTAGATCTATTAGACACTCTTAGACTCAGGTGAAGCCATCTACAACTAAGACTTTTTCAGACAACATGAGCTCCCGGATTTTTGTTGCCTTTCACTTTCCTGGTTTCTGCGGTGTTTGCCTGAAACCGTTCAGGAGAGACGCCCGCACCGGCCAAGACGCCTCAAGAGTTGGACACCATGGCCAGGGAACTCGTGAGAGCGGGGCAGGCGGGGAACGTGCATTCCGATGCCCTCGGCTGGGAAAAAAGGATCTTGCTGTTTGTGGAGTGGAAGAGATTTCAGGGAAGAAGGTGCTGGATGGGTTCGATTTTTGTTTGTCCCAACCACACAAGTTGTGTGTGCATGTGTATATAATAGAATTACAGAAGGTTTAGGAGATGGATAGCCACTAACTGAACTGCATCTCTATCAAGCTCTACTCAATTCCTCATGTTGATCAAAGCTGGCGAGGAAGATTCTGGCCGAGCTGTGCTTGTGCACCACTCAGTCTTCACGTCCGACTTTCCTTGCAAAAGCAGCCCGAGTTGCAAGAGCCTGACTTTGCAAGGCTCAGGGTCTGATGTTGGTTTGCGTAATGCAAAGACTCTGTGAACGTCCACGCCAAAGACTCTCTGAATAGGTGGAACTGCTGAGAGTCCGCGACGGACCGTCGCGATGCCCGGTCCGAGGTGATCGGCGGCAGCCGGCAAAACCTGGTACCGGAAGAGGAGGTGGGGCTATGCCCGGAGGCCGCAGCCAGGGAGGCCCAGCGTACTTGGGGTTAGTGGGACCAATTGTTATTTTGGTGGAAAGTATATAGTGGACACAAATATCTCTGGAGCCAGCAGCGGGCGAACTCCCCATTTTTCATCGACTTGTCTTTCGAGTGTCCCACTTGGTGGGTTTTATTCGCTTCTTGAATAATATTGAATTTATTTATATATATATATATAAGTGATTTGGTGGGTTTTCCTTCCCGACATGGCCCATCCTATGAGGTCACAAGCAACAGTGAGCTTCGACTGCAGCTGAAGAGTGCCTGGACTGCACACGGGTGGGGCGGGGTGATGAAGTGAAGACGCTTTTACAGCGAAGCGCCGGTAGAAGCTGGGATTCTGAGACTATTTGCTGAAGGGTCCAGGATCCGTCAACGCATCGATACCGGATCAAAGCAGATCTGAAGAGCAGATCTCATCCGACTTTGGGAGATTATCTTTTGGCTTTTTGGCTGAGGCATGGAAACCTTGCGCAACAGCCACAACACTTTGGTGACGGAGCTCAAAGAGCTCCGAGACCAGGCAAGAAGTAGGAGGGAGAGGGAAAGGGGTAGGTGTGGATGGGTGTGGTGTTGGCCGGGTAAGGTGGAATGATGAAGTTTAATGAGCTTCTAGAAGGTGGATGAGTGAATTTGAAGTTTCATGCTGATTCAACGACCGATTTAATGTTTCGTTGGTTTAGACATTGGAGACCCCTGACTGGGCTCGTCAGGCGGGCATCACTGGCTTGGAGGAGCTGAGATGGGGCGAGACGAGCTCGGGCGGGACGTGCGCTTTCGCATGTGGCAGGCATCATGTGACATGAGAGAACCATGTTTTTTTGCCTGAACAAGAAACACCTCGCAGTTGGTTGTTGACACCTGGACCTTCCAAGAGTTGGTGAATGGAGTCTTAAGCAGTGTCGCTCCACCTTCTGAAGGTATGGTTTCTTGGGAAGCGAAGAAGCACAGCTCTCAGTTCTGTGTGAAGAGAGCACCACCAACTGAGTTTTGGTTGGGTGTCCCCAATATTTGTAGAACAACCCCCCCATGTCTATCAAGAGATCAAGAGGTCTGACACTTTCCTGGATTATTCTTGAGCTCAAGAGGGCACCGAGCGGAAAGTCAGACTTCTGGCGACTGGGGTACTTCTGGAGCTTTCATTTCGATCGATCCTTGAGGACACACCACACCGAAAAGACAGATTTCCCCTCAACAGACGCGGGGAGTCCGGTTCGAAAACGGTGAAACGCCCGGCCAGTCGTTCCGCCGCGCGGAAGCGAGGACCTGGAGTTGCGGGTCTCCAGCGAAGTGAAGGTTCAGGGCTGGTCCAGCGGCGGCCGCTATCTTGAGGAGCAGGTGAGAGTGGGAAAGGGATGACATTTGGACATGGAGTATGAATAGTTTTGTGTGGACAGCTCAACAGCCTTGAAGCAGGGGTGAACATTCTGTTCTCAAGTTCCTGCACCAAGGGAGGGTGTTGGCTTTTGCAAGTGCCGGATTCTGCAGGATCTCGTCCATCACATGTACAGTAACCCCTTCGAGCCTTACAAGCGGGGCCATGAGATTTGGACTAGCGCTCCTGAATGGACACTGATGGGTGATAGGTCCTGATAGGTTGATATGAGTCTGGGTCAAAAGCTGAAGCCTCAATACCCTTGTTGATTGACCTCCCAGCTAGTCCATTCTGTTCGATTGGCCAACCCACGGGTCTCCGGGTTCGACCCAACTCGGAGACGCCAGGAGACGCCAGACACCAGCGGTCAAGGGGAACGTGCGATCCGGGATGTCTCCATTTTGAGACAGACCAAGCCATACGCCTTGGCATTTCCTCATTTTGGCTCAAGGATTTGTGCCTGAGGCGCTGCCACATCGCACGGTGTGCTTCTGACACCTTTCCGCTTTTCTCACAGCCCTTTCTCGACCATGCGTGAAGCGATCTGCATCCATATTGGCCAGGCCAGTCGAGACTTTGTTGGGCTGGTTTCCTGTCCTTGGATTCTTTTCCACATCAACAAGACCTCCAGGACCAACTTCCTGTATCCTGTATATAGTAGTAGTCAGCATCTTCCTACCTTTCCAGTTCTACTAGTCCATCTGTGATATCGCGCGTTCTCTTGCTTTTCGTTGACACCTTACCCAAGGTTACAGGGTTGCACAGAGTAGACAAGAAACCAGCCATGGATGCAACACATACTGGCATCCTGTCTACACATGCATGGTAATCAGTTATATATATATACACGTATATATACGCATATATATAATATAGATAAAACATGATGATAAGCAGGTAGACATAAAAGAGATACCGAGAGTGCGAGAATGTGAGTAGTAGTAGACACCGAGTCGGATTGACAGGAGGGTAGGGATCCTTCCTTGCAAGCATCTGATTCAGAGATAAACTTAAGATAGCTGTGACAGATGGCTTGCAATGTCCCAGATGGATGCCGAGATGATTCACAGAAAAGAAGGAACCAATATAGACTATAGAGAACAGATGCCCCACTTAACCGAGCACTGAATTCGGCATTGACGCCTGGCTGGCATGTTAAAGTGAAATGTAAAGATCGAGACTGACGGGGACAGTGGAGTAATCCTAAGCAGCAGCATACCTGTAGGTTTAGGGAGCGAGATTGATAGGAACCAGGGGATTTGCGGCGATATAGGGTGAACAAGATGCAAAATCATCAACGCAGTTGAATTGAGTCTGGAGATTTGCATTGGCAAATTGCCAACTTTCTGTGGCAGATGCAAGAGATTGGAGACGTTTGACTTCGATGTGCAGATTTCGTGGCAGGCGGAGCACTTTGGACATGGTGCTGGTCTTTGGTGCGCTCTGATTTCGTAGCAGGTGCAGTGAATCGTGAACATTTGGACACGCGGCTGATTTTCACAGTTTGGAGCAAGCATCGAGCGAAAGCCGCGTCGTCTTTGGAAGTGCTCTTGTTGCGAAACGCACTGGCAGGGCTGCCCGAGGTGAATCTTGATGCGCGGTCTTCTTAGCAGATGCAGTGCTTTGTGCACCTCGAAGTGCAGATTTCGTAGCAGGTGCATCGCTTAACTTTGCAGACTTCTCGGCAGGCGCAGCAAGTTGCAGGAGCATTGCGTTGTGAGCCTCGAAGTGCAGATTTCGTGGGAGGTGCAGCATTTTGCGAACCTTGAAGAGCAGATTTTGGAGCAGGTGCGGCAAAGAGGAAGTTTTAAGATTTTTAAGAATCCAAAATGATCATCCTCGAAGTTTTCGCTACAGAATTTGACACCCCAGGGTGTCAAAGCAGGGGTCATTTTGTAGAGACTGTATGTTCTAAATTTTCTAGACAATCAAACCTAGGTCTCTGACCTACCATCAAAAAGTCACACAAAATCTCACCGATTGAGGTGGGGTCATGATTCTGTAGAAGAACCCAGGCAACTTTGGAAAGTGCAAGATTTTCTTAAGCGTTTGCTTTGGCTTTGAATGTGTAGACAGAGATAAAAGTTTCGATTTTGTAGGGATGGTCTTAAAGCAGCGAAAACAAAAACAATTACTTATATAACTTCGAGTGATCCCCACCATGACATTTCAATCTGACAAATCTTCTGGCACGTATTGAAACATTTTTTTCGGAATTCTTTCTGACAATTTTTCTGTCATATCTTCTGACACTCGTCTGGCGTATCTTATGACATTCTCTCTGGCATATCTTCTGGTATTCTTTCTGGCATCTCTTCTAGCATTCTTTCTGATATTCTTTCTGGCATCTCTTCTGACGTTCAATCTGGCATTCTATCGGGCGTATCTTGTGACATTCTTTCTGACAGTCTTTCTGGCATATCTTCTGACATACTTTCTGACATTCTTTCTGGCATATCTTTTGACATTCTGTGTGACATTCTATCTGGCATATCTTCTGCATATCTTCTGACATTCTGCCTGACATTCTTTCTGGCGTTCTATCTGGCATATCTTCTGACATTCTTTCTGGCATATCTTCTGACATTTTTTTATGGCACATTTTTTTTGACATTTTTTTCTGACATTCGGACATATCTTCTGCATATCTTCTGACATCCTTTCTGACACTCTTTCTGGCGTTCTATCTGGCATATCTTCTGCCTCGCGCTTGAGTTCCGGCGGGGAACACTGCTAGCCGAAGCTCGCGGTTGAGGTCCGGCGAGGAGGAGGAGCAGGATCAGGACGAGGAAAACAAGGAGAAGGAGAAGCACGGCAGCTGACATAAAATCTAACAGCCGGCACCTGACAGATGGGGAAGTACTGTATTTGGCGATCAGTGCTTCTGCTACAAAATCAAAGCTTGGTCTCCTTGGACCCGTGGGCTGAGTAACATCTTCCAGCACTAGGTGTGTACAATAGTTTTACACCTGTCTAATGGAGGTAATTTGGTCAGGGGCTGACCATAGATGTTTTGAAAAAACAATTGTTCAAGTTGTGTGACAGACATGATCATTCCATGTGCTGTAAACGTTGGAAACACGATTGTAGTGGGCAACATCCTTCGACAAAAACAATTTCCCTACAGAATCACAACATGTCCTAAAGACGCTAAAGAGACCACAGCACCAAAAAAACATTTTCACTACAACATCCTATGGGCACAATGTGGCTCCTGACAGTCCATTTTTTGAGTTCTTGATGCTTGGGCCATGATACTTTAAGTATTTGCGTTGCATCAATCAGTTCTTGATTTTGTAGATTCAGATGACTACCTCAGAGGCTGTGAGGTCAGAAATTGTAGACTTCAAAGGGGAGGCCCTATCGTTGGGTTCTTGATTTGTAACTACAAAATCAGACACCCCAGCCTTCTCCATCTAAAAAGTATGGTTTGCACATCGCACACATAATGTTATGTATGCAACAAGAAACCACCTTTCGGGATGCCATCTATGAATGACACCATGAAGAAACCTTCATTCACGAAGGATGGGTCGTGTCGTTTGGCCTGTTTTCATTGGTCTTCTGGTGACAGGGCGGCGTGCAGATTGGCAATGCTTGCTGGGAACTTTTTTGTTTGGAACATGGTATTCAACCTGATGGACAAATGCCCAGCGACAAGACCATTGGCGGTGGGGATGATGCCTTCAACACGTCACTTGGAGACCGTTGACGTACAAAGGTCTGTTGCAAAATCCACTAAGAAATCGTCATCTCGAATCCCGAGATTGGACATACTTGTTTTTAACAATGTTTGACAGAGTTTGTGCTTGACATTTTGCCCATTCTTTTGTCGGGGCTTTGTGTTGCGGCCACTTTGTTTTTGTGGGTGGTTCACTTTCGGAGGGTTGAGTACCATCATACCACTACCATCTTCATTTCTTCCGGGCTACAGCTGCGCTGTCATCGTTTCATTCATGTTTGGTGTTACCATATGCCAAAAGTTGCCGGACACTGCAAAAGAAAAACCAACAACATCATCAGGGATGGGGATTTTGTTTTTTCACCCATCGCCTGGTTTCAGATGAGCAATCAGACCCTTTTCAACCCTAGTTAACTTTTGGCGATTTTTTCCACGGACAAGCAAGAGTTCGATCAATAAATGCATCAAAACACAGACCTCTCTCTATGGCCTTGTGGTGGAAACGCAGTAGTTGCTGCAAACCTTGTTGATGTTGATTGGATCCGCTAGGCAGACTAGCTTCCCACCTCCACAAAAACCATGGTGCGTCCCGTGGCACCGAGCACGAACACATGGAGGTTCTTTTCGGAGACGGGCGCTGGAAAACACGTGCCTCGCTGCGTGATGGTCGACTTGGAGCCGACAGCAGCCAGACTTTGATGGTTGGCATCGTTTTTGTTTTCTTGAGTAACATAGTGGTGCCCCAACATAGATAGATAAACAGTTTCCAAGACATGTTCTACGTGGGGATCTACGAGCTTCTATCTATTTGGGGGTCCTTTAGATTTGGCTTCCTAAATACCTACAAGCCAACGGAATGTCACAAGGTCCAGTGATTTTCTTTCGTGTTGGCCACTTGTGGCGCCCATCGCCAGGTGGTGGATGAAGTGCGCACGGGCACTTATCGCCAGCTCTTCCATCCTGAGCAGTTGATCTCCGGCAAAGAAGATGCAGCGAACAATTTTGCTCGAGGCCCACTGCTCGATTTCTGTGTGATATCCATGTGCAGGGGCCATGCTAGCCATGGGCCATGCTAATCTGTCTTCTTCTATTTGGTTCTTTTTCTTTTCTTTCTTTTCTTTCTTTCTTTCTTTCTTTCTCTTGTTTCCTGAGCAGACCACAGCTACAACCATTTTGCTCGAGGTCATTACACCATCGGCAAGGAGATCGCGGCTCGTTCTTGAAGCACTCGCTTTTGATGGATTTTCTTTTTGCAACACACATTGATGACACATGATCAAACCTTTTGCTGCGTGGTTTTGGCTGGGTGTCCGGGAAAAAACAGGTTGACCTGGTGTTGGATCGCATTCGAAAGCTTGCGGACAATTGCACTGGCTCCTCCTCTGCATCTTTTGCCGGGCGCAAAAAAACGGGTCGTTGATGTGGTGGAAACGGGTTGTCGGTGTCGATGTGGCCAGACCCAAACCCCCCAAAGACGTGCCAGATGAAGGACCATTGAGATCGAGCACCCATTGGTGACGTGCGCCGTTTCGATGCCCCTGCTTCTTCCTCCGTGGACTGGGTATGTACAATGAAAAATAGTAAAATATATAGAGGGTGTTAAAGAGATGTGGTGGAATGGTAGGCTGTTCAAGTGGGGGGTCTCATACCTGCATTCTAGAATAATAGTGATTTTCATTGAGCGCGCGGGGCGGGTGCAAGAATTTCACTTCGAAGACGCGAAGACGCCGGCCGATCCTTGCAGCGTCGTGAAAGAAGACACTTGAAGCCATAAGCAGGGACTTCGAACGAACAGAAGGCACTTGAAACGAAGCGAAGACATCGGAAACGAAAAGAAGACACGTGAAAAGAAGAGACTTGAAGCGAAAAGAAGGGCCGTTCGAGAGTTGGAACAAAAAATCGAAGAAGACGTTTGAAGCGAACAGAAGAGACTTGAGTCGAAAAGAAAGCGCTCGAAGCGAAAAGAAGACACTTGAAGCAAAAAGAGGAGGCTTGAAACGCTAAGACGGAACTTGAAACGCAGAGAAGACACTTGAAGTGAAGTGAAGAGACTTGAGTTGAGACGGTAAAGAAGAGACGTGAGGCGGACAAAAGGGACTTGAAGCGAGAAGAAGAGACTGAGAGACTTGAAGCGAAAGGAAAGGACGTGGAGCGACAAGGAAAGACTTGAAGCGGCACTTCTATATGAAATTAAGGGGACAGATGGCGTGTTTGTTAGTTGCAAGTTCTTTTTTGTTGATGTGGCTTGCGAGTGTCGATGTGTGTCCTGAGAAGGAACCTCGCAGTGTCGCGGCATCGCAGCGGCAGGGGCGAAGACGCGAAGAAACGAGCCGGACCCATGCAGCGTCGCAGCGTCAGGGGCGAAGACACGAGGCGGAGCCTCGCAGCGTCGCGGCGTCGCTGCGTCACATCGACTTCGCACCCACCTGGCGCACACTTTCGTGATTTCCGCATGCCCCAAACATTGGTAGCTATAAAGGCCTGCGCGACCCCTCCTGCAGAGTGTGACTGGTTGGGGGGACTTCCCTGTTGGTCCAATACGCCGTTTGGTGAAATTCTTCGGCCAAGGTCTGCAGGGCTTCTGCGTCTACAACGCATGCGGTGGAGGTACTGGATCCGGCTTGGGCTGCCTGATGTTGGAGCGCTTGTCAGTTGACTACGGCAAGAAGAGCAAGATCTCTTTCACGGCTTCTTGGAATGAACATGTTCTTGGAATATGGTTTCTTTTTAGGCTAGCTGTTTACATTGTTTACACCGTCAACGTAAAGGAGTCAGGCAAGAGCCCGAGTCCACCAAACAACTCCGTGTTTTGCTCCTTGTTTCGCCTCGGGCCTCGTGTTTTGTCGCCTGCCGACAGGTTTGGTGCTGCCCGCAAGTGGCCACTGCAGTCGTGGAGCCGTACAACACTGTCCTGTTCCTCTGCACGGTTCGATAATGGCTTGGCGTTTTTTCCGAGTCTTGTGTTCCAGTGGTTCCCAAATCGATAGCACAGCTTGCAATACAGGTTCGATTGCAGTTAAGATTCGATCCATTTGGAGGTCCCTATGCACGGACAGGATCGGACAGGGCATGTCGAGTCCTCTTGAATGATTGCACCATGCAAGTTCAAGACTGCGCCTGTCTGATCAAAACTGATCAAAATTGCCGAGGTGCGTTCATTCCTTGCTGGAACATACTGACGTGACCATCATGTACGCAACTCGTCCACATTAGCAGCATTGCAGTTTCATTTTCTCATTCCTCATTGCTTTCAAGGACAACGAGGCATTGTACGACATTTGTCGCCGAAACTTGGACATCGAGCGGCCAACGTATACCAATCTCAACCGGTTGATCGCCCAGATCATCTCCAGTTTGAATCTGGGCCATCTTTAGGTTGTTCATTCTTCTTGAACATGTGCACAAGACAAAACCCTTCAGACTAGCCAGGCCAGCCCCATGCTAGTTTGCATCACACTCAAGAACTGTGCATATCATGATACCAACATTTGTGGGCCTGGAAAGTGGCAAATCCACCGTAAAGGTCACCAAAGCAATGGATGCTGTAGATTCCATGGTTCTGTGCACGTCATGCATCTCGCATGACGTTTTACACGGCGCAAAAAGCGACTATGCATGCCTCGCAAAAGACCATGCAGTCTGGGTGCATGAGGATCATGAGACTGAAGAAAGTTGCTTCAGAAGGATCCAGATTATTTCAGCTTTTGGCTGCGCTGCTGACTTCCTCCCAATTGTCCGTTTCCTGCTTGCCGTTTTTATCGTGCAATAGTTTTTTGCGGTGGTTGTGCGCTTCAGAGTCATTCTCCATACAACTGAACGGTACAGGGTTTTCTTCTTCTCAATGGCCGCTACCTGCCTCTGGAACTATTTCACTCACGGTTCTTTCGGTTCGTTGGTCCGTCTGTTGCGGGTAACGACGGTTCCGTACGGTTCGGGTGCGGGAGTTTCTCCCCATGGGTGCATGGGGTAGAGTCAGGGTTGAGCATGGAGACTTAAACCAATTTGATCAAATTTGCAGGATTCTTGAGCCACCTGTCGACACTGTCATCACTTGCGATCACTTCTTGCTCTCTCTTCCGGTGATCGGTGGCCATCGTCGCCAAGGGGGGTGCCTTCTTTTGGACCTGGACCTGGTCAGAGTCTGACGTTTCGCATGGCACTTGTCAGTTGTCATGTGGCCTGCATGGGGTTTATGCAGATATACCGATGTATGATATACCTGGATCTTCCAACCATTTGCCTTTTGGCTGGATGAACAGCATAAATTTGTCAGAGTATGAAGATCCATATATACTATAATTCTCCTGTCACATCTTGCTTTCTTGCTGCTTCTGGCTGTATTCAGACCTGCTACTTTACCGTTAGGCACCAACTAGAATAGCATAAAAAACAGTCCCAAGCTTGCGATGCTTTGTTTTTTGCCTGACTTCGACTACATGGACGGTTTCCAAGTTTCTTTTCTGTTTGGTTCACTTCAGCACGCGGTCGACGGTCGATGGTGTCCAAGGACCGCCTCCCTCCGCTTTGACGGTGCTTTGAACGTTGACATCACCGAGTTCCAGACCAATTTGGTCCCATACCCGCGAATCCACTTCATGCTCACCTCATACGCACCGGTGATCTCTGCGGAGAAGGCATACCATGAACAGTTGTCTGTGGCCGAGATCACGATGTCAGTGTTTGAGCCAGCCTCCATGATGGTGAAGTGTGATCCCCGTCATGGCAAGTACATGGCCTGCTGCATGATGTACCGTGGAGCCTTGGCATGCCTTGGCCACAGGGGATGCGATCCTGTTTTTTGTAGAGGGTTGGGCATAATTCCTTGCCCCCGAAGTAGGATGGAAAAGTGCAAGCACTTGAAAAGAGGAGCTGTCTAGGTGTCACTCACCTAGGTGTCACTCACCTATGAACGCGGGGAACCTGTCACTCTTGGTGAGTGTGAATTAGTTAGTTGACACTTGATTTTCACTTCCAGCATTCTCGATCCCTCTCCGACCCCGTTCCCTAAACGAATTGGTGGTTTGACAAGGGCAAAGCGAACGACACGAGCCGATTGACTGACAAAGGGGAAGCGAACCATTTCCTGTTGAGTTCTTTTCTGCAGTCTACACTTGGGCAGATTTAGTTTGATTTGGAACATTTTGGCTCAAGATTTGGGATTTTCCTTTGACTATAGCCTATAGCCTATGTTAACAACAAGATTCTGTGCTTCGTTTCCCACACAGGTCCCCATGCGTTCTCGCACCCTCCGTGCCACCCGCAAGACCAAGGCGATGTGGTGCCCAAGGACGTGAACGCCGCCGTGGCCACCATCAAGACCAAGCGCACCATTCAGTTCGTGGACTGGTGCCCCACGGGCTTCAAGTGCGGCATCAACTACCAGCCTCCAACGGTGGTGCCTGGCGGAGACTTGGCCAAGGTCATGCGCGCTTGCTGCATGATCTCGAACTCCACGGTCGCTGGGCTGAAGAAACATTGGAATAATTGGCAGGTCAAGTCTTTCTGCAGGTTCAACTGTGATGAATGCAACTTGAATTATCCCAGTTGCTACCGGTTAGCTAAAATGAATGTGGTCGACCACGGAAACCCTTTTTAGTTAACTCATTTAGTTTAAGGGTTATCTCAAAATTGAGGCTTAAACAAAAAAGATGACACGGATGAACTCTTTGTACTGTCAAATTAGCCAGTCATGACAGACAGTGGTTTTCTTGTTGCACTTTTAAATAGAATGAGATGTATAGGTCTTTAATACGTACCAGTCATTTTAGATAAGCATTCTTTTACATAACATGGAGGGTGAACCTGAAGATTTGGTAGCAACGGGGATCTCAAAAGAAACTTTACTCAACCTTCTTGGCGAAAAGGCTCAACGGGGGGGCACATGCCATAACCAAGTTGGTGAAGCCCGGATGCTTTTCCAAAGCAAAAGGCCCTTTGGCTGGAAAGGTGCGCGAGTACGAGTCTCGCGCGAGCGAGGCCATTGCAGAGGTCTTCTCTCGTATTGACCACAAGTTTGACTTGATGTACCTGGGCGACCGGGGGCAAAGCCGGAGTGTGTGGGGAACAGGGTGGCGGACAGATGATGTCAGACAGATGATTGATGGATTTCACCAGAAAGGGCCGACCATGTTTCCGAAGCCAACCCGAAGACGGCAGCTGAACGGCAGCTGTGTGAGCTTCATGGCTGAAAGACCCGAAGACGCCGAAGACGCCATGCAATTCCGGGCCCTCGGGAACACTCGATGTTTCGACTGGGACAAATCAGCAGTAGGGTTCTGGGTGTTTCACTTCCAACTTTTTTTGGGTGTTCAGATGACTCTGTATCATTCACCATTCACCAATGGGGTTCTTCAGATGGAGATCAAGTTGAAGGATTCGACCAAACTCCACGTGGTATGGTCAGCAGTCTCCGCATTGGACCCATGTGAGAAAGGAATGAAAGGAGGTTGCAAAACCATTGGGCTGCGGCAAATATTCCATTTTTCCCAGAGATGATTATATAGATTAATCTATATAGATGAGCTGAGATTTGGATGGAGTTTTAAAGAAGCAGGATGTTCCATATTTAATTGGTTCGATTCAGCAATGTGCTGGGTTTGCAGGAATGGCAGGGATTCTTGAACCTACTTGGACTGACCTTTGAAGGACTTTGCCCAGGCACCTAGATTGTCATTGGATCATTGGAAGACTGAATCTGCCGTCGCCAGCCCCACCTCCTTGAGGTGAATGTCAACCCTCATCGCCTGTCTCACTCATTTTCTAGCTTGGCGACTTACCATAAATATTACGCCCTTTGCTAGACCGAGTCCTTTGGCTAATGAACGACGCCCAGAAGCGCTGGACGTTCTTCGACCGAAGCGCTGGATGTCCCAAACAACATATCGAATTCACCACGTTGGCACAAAGAGTACAAAGCAACCAATTCACACCTTTGGCACTGCTATCAGCACTGCTATCCACGGAAATAGCCTATCTCTGAAAACAAGATGTCTCACAGATGAACACCTGATGAATGTCAAATACCTGCGCTCTGGCGCAGTGGATCCTTACTTCCTCCAGTCGTCACATGCCAAATCCGAAACGAACATCATCCTGCAGATATTCGATCCGGCGGTGCAATCTTTGAAGTTCATCAGTCGGGTAACCAAATTTCTATACCTGCAGGTATTCGAAGCGTGCCTTCGTGCACCACTATGTGGGTGAAGGCATGGAGGAGGGCGAATTCTCGGAGGCTCGTGAGGACCTGGCAGCCCTGGAGCCGCCTGACCGCGATGGTGTGAGTTTTGAGCGGCGTGGGCGGGAACTGCCCAGAAACTGTTGCCGTTGCCGTTTGTTGTTGTTGTTGTTGTTGTTGTTGTTGTTGTTGAGAACAAGGCGCTACAATCTGGCTGACCAACTACTTGTCTGACCCGGAAAAAAAGATGCTGATGAATGGCGAGAATCCCATAAGCTTCAGATTAGTTTCAAGCCTACTCTCGGAATCGAAGACCACACTAAGGCTCATTCATGTTGCAAAGGAATAGGGGGTCTTCACTTGCAAAAAACTCATTCAGAGGAGAGCCCCTAAACGTAAGTGGTTGTCCATTGGTATTTTGGGTCTAGAACAACTAGCCATGTGAACGAAGAGCCAGAGAAGGAGTCTTTGACCCGGCCCCGGCCCAAGTCCTTGCCTTTACAACCATGACCTGTCATATGCGGGAACTACCCGGCGTCAGAGACGGTGCTAGCAACCAAACTCATCAACCAACCAACCTGCCAACCCAAACAGCCCAAACACCAACCTAAGAAGGTTGGCCAGTCTGATCTTTCGTTTCACTCCTGAGGAAGGACTACGAGGAAGTTGGCATCGAAACAGCCGAAGGTACGCAGCTAGGTACTAGTAGGCCGCCTCGATGGTCCTGTTGCAATGATGGTTCGCTGAAGATCTTCTTCTTCTTCTTCCTCTTCTTCTTGCTCTTGTTCTTATTCCGCCCTGCCCCGCCCAAGGTTTTCCTGTTCCTTTTGGGCGGTTCACTTGCTTGGTAGTAACTTACATTTCCATACATTTCCAGCAAGTCTGTTCTTGGAAGGCCATCTTGGGATACATCCATGTTGCCGACAAGCTCGGGAAGACAGAAACGTGAACACAAGGGGTATTGTTGAACACAACAAATATATTGTACTGCCCACAAACTAGTGATGATATCGGGTTCGATGGATGATCTAGGTTGCAGAGGCACTGATTCTTTCAGCCATTCTTAAGTGCGTGTAGGCAAGACTGATGGTCCAAGCTTCATGCTCAGAACCCTCTGGGGCCAGTGCTATCAAGGGCTTTGCTGAATATGCTTTCATATGCTTTCCACACTGTTTCCATGCTGTTTTGCAGGTGAGGGCGAGGAAGAAGGCTATGGCGATGAATTCTAATTCGTCTCCGTCTCACGGGAAGAACAACTTCCTGAGCAGCTGGCACTACCAGCAGCCATGGGACAGACATCACCTGCTTGAATTCTGAAACAGGTTCTGCGCACCCAGATGGATGGACCTTTAGTGCATCGTGTTGTGGATCATATCATATGACAATATGCAAAGGTCTGCACTCCCCATTCAGTTGCCCCAGCAAGACAGACAGATCAAGGCGCGCAAACGACACCTGCGACCAGTCCAGTTGTTTGAGGTGATTTTCCCATCAAGCCGGAAGTTATGACTATCAACTCTGACCTGCAGTCGGGTCGCGGGGGTGTAGAAGAGAACAAACTTTTGGACATGCTTTAGCCTAGCCACATCTTCAAATGACACCTTTATTCAGATTCAAGTACAGCCCATTTTGCAGATCCTTTCAGCTCCAGAATTCAGAGACCGGATTCCTGCCAGGTGAAGATCATCAACTCCTTCTCCCACCCTTTGCTGCAAGCCTTCAAGGCCGGCGCCTTTCTTCGCGCCCGACGGATCAACTTCTGTGGGGACCGGAGGTGTTACAAGAGACGACTATGAACTAACTAGTGGCACCCTATAGTGCACTGAGAAAGCAAAATATTACAAGATCCTGCGGATATCGCCAGAGCCGAAGGGGATTGATCAGGTCTTTTCAACCACAGTTCATGGTAGAAGTTGAAGCGATGCTCACTTAGATTTGCTTCCATCGAATTCGATCACTTCGAGAAGGTGATTAGTTTTGTTTACGACATGGGAACCGCCAAGAGGACTCCCAGTGAGAATCAGTCTCGTTACAATCCCATACAATCCCCACTTCCACCTGCTCGGTACTCTTCATTGCTAGTCTTTCCTTTTCTGTCCTCGGAAACTCAAACGCTGGAGTCGCTGCACGCCGCACCTCGTATGTGTCGAGTTGGCACCCTTGCCACCAGGTGAAGCCGCACGGGGTCTTAGGCAACGCCGAAGGGCAGAAGGAGTTGGCGCCCTTGGCACCCGTCGAGGCACGGGCAAGGACCCTTTGGCCGGGTGCTGGACGGACTGAGTCATCTTCTTGTTTTCATTCCTGTTCAGAATATGGTGTGCCCCGCGGTGTCGTAAGGCAGGCAAGCGTCATGTGTTCGGAACAAGGGGCCGGGTCTTGCAACATGCCAAAATGATCTACGTGCGTATATATATATATACACTATATACACATAGTTTTTGAAGGTGGGATCCCTAAAGCAAAATCCAAGGCCGCAGCTGAGGATGTCTTGGAAAGACCATGAGAACCCAAAGAACATCCCCAAGGAACATGTTTCAGACTAGTACGGCTACACATAAAAGAGGTTGGACTGCTAGCGGGACCCAAATGGGCTTTGGATTGTGGTAGCTGTCCATGATTCATCGCAGGCATCGCAAGCAGCGGTTCCTAGTCAATGGGGCTGCAGGGCTTACCGGTCAATCATAGCTGGGGTCAAACCAGATCCGGTTCGATTCGTTGGCTGGTGGGCGGCTAGGAGTTTGATCGATCCTGGGGTAAGAAGCAACTGCAAGCAAATGCTTGGTGTTGCCTTTGTGCCGTGTCTTCCTTTCCATCAAGCATTTCACAGGCCTGCCTGTTGCGACCACATGCTGAACCCACGGCCCCCCCTTTTTTATTATTCTTCACTGTAGGTCCATGGGTGTCGCGTGGGTGCGAAGCCTCCATCGGTCACACGGGTGGGGCGTTCCATCCTCCGTTTGTTCCTCCATCGGTGTGTCGCTTCGGAACCCCGAACTCACTCGGTCCACCAGGCCGTGGTGGTGGACCCTGCGGGCTTCCCTTTCATTGGCTACCGCAACAGCTGTCGTGGTGCCGGGGGCGCGCCAGAGCACCCAAGGAAGGGGCGGGTGGGATTGATGCTGGGGGAAGAGGCGGCAAATGGCTGGGCCCGGCAAGTATGGGCCAATGGCTTCGAAAACCAGGTCATTCACTTGGGCTACAACAACAATGACCCTTCCAGCCCCACTTTTGAGGCAGCCAACCGCCTGGATCATGTTTGCTTGGTGCTTTGTTGGATTTCATCAATTTGTGGATCCCTCCTGAAACAGTCATCGCCCAAGTTCCTAAACTAATGATAGCCCCCCATCTGGCTGTGGAGAATCATCGAATTGTGCACAGTTTCTATATGGGCAGCCATGCAGCCATGCATTTTTTTTGGGGGAAGATCTTCATAACTTCGGCCTGGAGGGTCTGCGGCACAAGGGCCATGCTTGCCGCTCCCCAGAGTGACAGTTCCTGTCCGTTCCTGGCGATTCTCCGGCGCCTGTGTGGACCGAGGTCGGGTTCCATCTACAAATGGCGCGGCGCCCAGCGGGGTCCGACTTGCTGTGCTTCAGACTGCATTGGTCTTTTATACGTGTACCGCTGATGTTCAAGGAAGGCAAAAAGGAGGTTCAAATCAATAAGACCACGGTTTGCCTGTAATAATGTGGAACCCACAACCTTCCACCATGAAGGTAACATTTTTTGCGCCCATGGATGTTGGAAGATTTGCATTGGAACTTTTCTGCCGCGGAGGCGAAGGATTCAGGTTGAATGACTAATGAAGTGACCATTCTTGGTGAACTCGGTGATGAGGGGAGCCCAAAGGCAATTACAGGCCACCATTCACCTATCCAATAGGGCCACTTGGCTTTAGTGGCTTCAACTCGCTGCTTCATCTCGCTTGGACAAAAACAGAAGACCCACTGGCCACCCTCGTGAGACCAACGGGACATCTCGAGCAGCAGTGTCTCGATGGTCTCGACCGCGCGAGGCTGAACCTCACTGCGGCACCTGCCAATGGCCGCTTCCCTCCTGAGGTGGGCGGGGATCGACGGGGCCGGCCCTCCGCGGCACGACAATATGGTTAGTGTATCCACAAAGGTTCGAGTTGGGTATGCAGCATCACTGCAGCACTCTCGGATGTTTTCTCATTAACTGGATGTTCCAGAGAACGGCGGATCTTGAATGGTTCATTCTCTTTCCATGGATGACCTAGTCAAGTCCACGGTTGTGAAGCCAATCTCCAAGGGTACAGGTCTTGCTACACCTTCCCAGACCCCTTCCCTGGACATAGAAAAGATCACGAATCCTACTTGGTCGGTGGAACCCACCTGCGACAAAAAGCACGCTGCTGCCAGGGAACCGCCCTCCCCGCCGCCCCACCTCCTCCCGGCGTGGCAGGTGAACCGCCACTTTGCAGCGTCCGCCCTGGCGGGTTTGGAAGCGAGATCAACGGATCGCGGTGGTCATGCGTGACTGGAGCTCCTGGAACGAATAAACCACCAGAGAGGGAGCCTGGAAGAAGAATGAAGAACAGGGAAGAAACCTCAGGTAAAGACATGATGAAGCCATGTGAAGGACACCCGAACCTGAGGGGCTTCCGGATTGTCTGCCTTGCAGTCACCCAGACCCGAACCTGTCCACACTGGTCGCGGCTAGCTTTGAAGCTGGGCGCATCGCGCGGGGGATGGGGCAGACGGGCAGATGTACAGATCTGACGCTCTCCAGAAATAGACGGAAGAGAACGACCTATTGAAAGGTGATGGGTCCAAGCGGGAGAAATCCAGCCTTTTTGGGTGCAACAAGCTGTTCGTTTGCATCTCCTAGCCCTTCAATACCGGCAGTGCCCGTGTGTTTCCGGCCAGGAGCCGGGAAGTGGAAGCTGAAGGGCGTCCGGGAGCTGAGGGCGTCCAATTCGCCAAAGCTGTTCCACTCACCGCCATTTCAACAATTTTCCATGATTTTGTCCATGAGTTTCAACCATTTTTCCACTCACCGCCATTTCGGACGAGCAAAAGAACACATTTGCCCGCACTTCACGCAAGGGGAGATCCTCCCATGGAAAACATCTCCTTTGCCTGACTGAACCTCCAGCCATTCCAACTTGCAGATGCACCCCTTCCATGCACATTTTTGGACGCCCATGTTTTCAAACAGTGGATGCTCAGCCGGATGACTACCCAAGCTCCTCCCCGGGTCGAGGTGCAAAGCTCCACGTCTATAACGTCAACCAGGTGGTGATTCACACGGCCGGGAGACCCGGGCGTCGACCCGGCGCGTCTGGGACCGCGCCGGAGAAAGCGGCCGGCGAAGCCGGCGTCAAGAGGGTGGTTTTGGGGGGTCGGTGGACGGACATAGGAAGATAGCAAGGACTTGTAGTGGATCCGTGTGCCGTTTTGATCATTTTGCATGTCTGGGGTAGATTGACAAGAAGGGCAAAAATAAGTGACGAAGAGCGGCTGCCCCGTGAGGTGAAGAACAACTGACTGGTGTGGGATCTCCGTTAAACTTGGAGCTTAGTTTTCTGAGACCGCCGGACTCATCTGAACCCACAGCGGAGGTTGAATCGAATCCTCAGAATATCTGAGAATCAACTGAGGAGTCCACTAGGCAAGAGGCTTGCCCAAGGTTTGCATGTTGGGGTGCCTCAACAGGGGGCTTTGACCACACTGACCACGGGACCACGGTCTGTATTGGAGGCCCTGAAACTTGGGGCCGCCCCAATATGACCCAATGTCTTTCCAAGGAAAATCACATGAAATCACTGTAAGGACAATCACTGTAAGGACATCCATCCAATATTGGCCCTGCTGCCCCAACTGAGCAGCTTGCGGTGGATGCGAACGGTCCAGGGATCGGAAGGGGCCGACCCGAATGGGCTGACCGGACGGACCCCCGTGGGTTTCGCAACGCCGGGATGAGCGGCCTGCGCTTCTCAGTCTTCTCCGCGTCCCAAGGTTGGCCCGAAGTTGCGGGACCTTCTTCCAGGGGTGCAAAGCCTTTCCCGGACCTACCTCAATGTGCTCTCAGAGTACTGCCAGGCGAGTTGTTGGGGTCTACACAGTCACAGTTCTTTTATGGACGAATGCTTTGGTCGTATGCTGTGGCGGGTGTGTTTTTTGGGCAGTGGAGGGTCCTTTGTCCTCAGACAGATCAAAGAAGTTATTCTTGTTCAACTTGCTTTCGATTGAAGCCAGGAAGTTCCGCGAACCTGTGCAACACGACATGGGGAAGTGCTGGGACAGCTCATTTGGACTATTTTGACCCTTGATCTGCGGTCTTCCCTGTCCCAGCTGGTGCAGGCTTCGGCCCCAGCGGGTCGTTGGAGACAACCAAGCCACCGCGATTGAAACGCGGGCCTTTTCCGACCATGGGAGAACATGACCCGCGGAGTAGCAAATCATTGTTATTGTAGTCTTACCCAGAGCATCAGGACTTCTGCATCTTTGGCAGTGTTTGGATCCCTGGCTGGAATGGTACGCATCATCGGTAATTACGCATGGTGTTACGAATTCAGGTCAGACATGATTGCTGCTGATTCCAGAGGGGGAAAAAACACCGACGTGTCGCACAGTGATGGTTTGCAACGAGTTGCGGGGATCGAAACGGAGTATTCTGCAGGCCATCCTCTCAGAGGCGCGAGTGGGTGTGCGAGTGGGGCATGTGGGGGCCTTTGGATGACAAATGTTTTAGATCTCCAGGGTGACATGGGGTTCCAGTGTTTGTCTAGGAGTTCCTCCATCAAAACTCACTTTACTAGGTTTGTCCTTGGCTTCATCAAAGGGGAGGTTCCAAGTTATGTTCCGGCTTGTGTGGGTAGCAGTAGTTCTGAAAGACACCGGTCTGGCTGCCAGCTAGCTGGAGTACGGTAGAGAAGCATGGACCGAGAGGAAGCTATTTCACTTGGGGCACATTCACCTTTGCAAACGGTAAAGGTGATGCTCAAGCAGGGCAACAAATGGTACACCGAAAATTCACAACCTGAAAACCACCAGGTTGTAGAGGAAGATCGTCTGGAACCGAAGGTCCATGCCATCAGGCTTCGGTCTCGGAACCCGGGTGAACGTCCAGAGGGCCCGTCCAGAGGGCCCGCTTGACCGTAGACGGAGCGTTCCTCCAGCACTCCCTGTGGAAACGCGGTGGCAAAGCTAAGTCAAGGGTTTGTGGATCCTGTGGATGACAAGTGCGCAAGTGGCAAGACACACACAGACACATATATAAATATTGTTGAAATTCACCTCATCCCCATGGACCCCGTAGCGTTGACTCTCAAGGTAGAGCAAAAGGTAGCGCTTACCGGACTAGCAGGGTTAGCTAGGTAGTTAGTACTATTAGAGCTGATCCTGTAAAATACAGGTTATCAGCCGTAGGCTAGCTAGATTAGAGCTATGGACCCGATGGATGACGACGTCCCACCAAACTCCTACGGAAGTGGCTTTGACATAGTTCCGAGTGTGCCCAATAGTTTGGATGCAGTTCAACGGCATGAACAAGCGGTTGCACAAGTGGCTGCAATGGATCCAAGGGTTGCTTCGGAGGTGTACCAAGAGATGCTAAATAGTGGTGGTAGTGTTACTCTTCAAGAGGCGACACAAGCTACCCTAGCAGGTATGCCGTCAGCCACCGTAGCTGGTGCGCCAACAGTAAACAACTTGTTGGCAATGACTCGGCTCAACGTCGTCAACCTGAATGCAACGCCAAACGACGAAGAACTACGACGGGAGTTACAACAACATGAGTTTTTGCTCAGCGAACAAGCCAGGAGGGAAGCTGAAATCGAGGCATTGCGCTTCAGGAGTATTTACGAAAGAGAAGCTTCCGAATCTATAGCGGCAACAAAGGCTGCCGCAGAGCAGGCAATGTTGAATGTTCAACAAAGGGCCCAACAGCAGGAACAAAGTGTTCAGCAAATGGTCCAACAGCAAGACAATGTTGCAATCAAACGGTTGCAAGGTACATTGGAGGAGCAAAGGGAACATTTTCAGCAGCGGCTAGCTCAGGCGACAGCAGCTCATGAGAAAGTTGTACAGGAAAAGAATGCCATGGCGGAAGAAGGCAATGCTTTTGTTGACAAAATGAGAACTGAACATCACCAGTATGTTGAGCAACAGGAGGCTAAGCTGAAGGCAGCTCTAGAGGCAAAGGATCAGGCAAGACATTCGTCTGCTGAAGAATCCCGGATCGCCATAGAGCTTGACTTCAAGCGAGAACAACTGGACAGTTCGTTAGCAATTGCACAGGCAAAGATCAAAACTCTTGTCAATGAGATGGAGACAACAAATAAGCAATATAAGGTTGATCGGGAAACGCAAGAGCAAACTATAGTTGAGCTTCGCAAGGACAATGCAATGTTGAAGGGTGAAATGGACGAGCTCAGACGTGTTGTACAGTCCTTGACAGACAGGGAAGAGGAACGCAAGGAAGCGGAGCGCAAGGCGCAACCCTCTAGCCCCGTTAAGCCAGGGCCGCAATATCCTGAGCCACTTACACCTTCTGCTCGACAAGACGCTCACCCAATTGGTCAACCGCGATCTTTTGAACCTCTACGCACGGAAGGCACTGTTCCAGCAACCTTAGACGGTAAGCCCCGTGAGGAAGGCGGATCCCCTATAAAGACGGCTATGGATGCAACAGCGTCCACGCGCAACACTGGATTCCCATCAATGTTCTCAGGGACAGGGGCGCCCGCAGCGGAACAGGCAACGGCCTCTACGGATAGGCAACAATTCAAACAACCGGATCCGTGGACGGAGTACATGAAGAAGTCAGCACAATATAACTTCAGTGATGATCCTTTGTACAAAAGCTCCTTTAATCAGGAAGCAACAAAGACTAAGGATGATCGCAAGGACGAAGGGCCGGCTTCTCAGGTAAGAACTCCACAAGACCAAGATTTGGGGGAAATCATCAAGAAGGCCTTGCTAGAAGGGTTTAAGGGCGCTAAGAGCAAAGACTCTGACAAACCCAAGGCAAAGGAGGCTGATAAGATAGATCTTCCCGAATTCCCAAGTCCTGATAGGTACCGCACTTGGAGGGCCGCTGTTCGCGAAGCGATACGGTCCGCGTCCGATGACCCAGACGCTGCGTTCGCATGGGTGCTTGAGGTGTACGCTGTTCGTGAAGACAAAGCCAAGCTTTGTTCCGAATTGGCTGACCCAGGCAAGTTTCGGACCTTAGACACGAAACTACTTGCTGCTTTAACTAAGGTTGCCAAAGGTGAACTGTCTCAGCAGATCCTTAATTATAAGGAATCTGAGGCACAGCAAGGTAGGATCGTCCGTGGTCGTCAGGTGTTGCTCATGTTTGAAGTCCACTTCAAGACCAGTGAAGAAGCGGGTGCACTGTATGGCACGGAGGACCTCCTCAAGATCTCGCTTGATAGCGACGACTTGAAATCCTTTCTAAGAAAATGGGAGAGTGTTCTGACCGGAATGAGTCATGTCCCAGACCCGGCAACTCTCAAGGATTTGTTTTATAGAGAGGTTAGGAAGTCCCGCAAGCTCAGATTTGACCTTGATGTTTATGAACGAGCACCGGAGGGAAGTAACGACAGAAGCTATGAATTTCTTATCAATTCTGTTCGACGTTACCTTGACAGGGAAAGGCTCAGGACCAATCGCGAAAAGATATCACAATCACACGCGGCGAAGTTCGCAAACCCGGCACCGCACGACAAGCGCACGCGAAGCCCAAGTTATGGCAAACGAAGCGCAAAGGGTGACGGAAGCAATCAATGCTATGAGTATGCCAAAACTGGTAAGTGTAAGTACGGCAGCAAATGCAAGTACTCACACGACTCTAGCGCCCGTCCCCGCTCCCTTAGTCGGGAGTCGTCTCGTTCGCGTAGCGCAAGTCCGAGCAGCCGTTCATCGTTCAGGTCAAGCCGATCTCGAAGTTCGTCAAGACACACTTCCCGCTCCAGTTCAAGGAACTCATCAAGAAGCTCCAGTAGAGGGAGGAAATCTGACAAGCCATGCAGGTTCTTTGCAAAGGGTAACTGCAAAAGGGGCGACAAATGCCCGTTTAAACACGGAGACACTGCAACACCAGCCCCGCGCAGAAGGAGTCCCTCGCCCGCAGCTAAAAGGTCTAAGGACAAGAAATCCAAGAAGGACAAAAAGGACAAAAAGAGCAAACGGGAAAAGAAGGACAAAAGTCCAAAGGCCAGTCCATGTATCCAAACAGGTTTCGCAATGTCTTGCTTAGCAGCAACCGCAACTCGGACCCAAAAGAGTAAAGAC